CACAAGTCAGATGCAGCTCTGAAGTTCTCAGTACTCTGCGGAAACCAAGTCATTGCTAACACTCTCCTCTGCTAACTGAATACTGTATATGGGAGTTGGCCCTGATCACTAGAGGGACTCAAAGAGAATGTGGATGAAATATGATATTTTCTTCCTCATTATTATAAGGTCCAAGTCTCAAACTTGCCAGCTAGTAGCCATTCAGTTTTAGAAAATATTTTCATTTTCTCATCACTAGAATATAGATTAAGCATACCTGTCAGCATTTCTCCAATTATTAGAACCTTTCAAGTGCACTGGTGGACCCAAGGGTAAAAGATAATATACCACACAAATTATGAAGGCTATCCGATGAATTCAAGTTATCATTACAGATCCACTGGGTTTGACCTTTTCATATTTTATTGCAAAGGGGAAATGTTTATCTACTTGCTATTACTGAATAGGAAAATGATCAATTTTCCTATATGACAAAGGATGAATGTTTGTATCTAATAACTTCTGTAAACTAAAATCCCAATTAAGATGTCAATTAAGAATGTTTTACTCAAGTATAAGAATTACATCCCATGTGTCTATGGCCATACCACCTTAAACACACCTGATCTAGGGAAAGCATTACAGTAGAAGAAAATAAAATTTAAAAAAGCTCCTTCAGTCATATCCTAGTGTACATCCCACTAAATCTTTTAAATATTCAGAACTATTCAGTTATGCTGGACATTTAAAGGGCAAACCTTGAAAAACACAATTACTGTACCATTATGTATTAAATGATATGATTCATTGAAGGATTTTTTATAGTAAAGAGCAGAGCATTTATTTGACTAATTCACCAAGAAATGTTCTGCACAATGGAGACTTCAGTCCAGCCAAGAAGCTAGTTTTTATGCTGTATGCAAGGGTATTCATTTCTGCTGTAGTGCCTTTTAGTTCTAAGCTGCCACTTCCCCCTTGTTACCACTCTGGGTAGCGGACCGGACTCCTAAGAATTTCTCCTTGGTTGGTATCGTGGTGTTAGTTTCGCAGGAGGAACAGGCATCTTTCCCCATTCCAGGTGCTGCCTTTTGATTTTTGGAGTAGACCATCACCTGCACGCTGTACTGTGATGTCTGCTAGTGCCCTGCCCCATGTGTGCACTCAGTCCCTTGGGGATGCTGCATCCCTCGCTGGGGTGGGTGGCCACCAGCTTGCTGGGGACCTCGCTATGGGTTGTGGACACTGTAGTATTCTAGGCTGTGTGCCCACCCACCAGGCAGCACTTTTCTTGTGCTGGGCAGCTGCAGCAGCTCTACTCTCAGCCATCCTGAGTACATCCCTGCCAGGTGTGGCCTGAGCCACCTTCTCCAACAGCCCTGAGCCCAAGCCCAACAGGGGTCTCTTCTCAAGGCTGCCTCTCTTGGGTCTTCTCTCAGTCCTTGCTTATCCTTCGGGTTTTTATTTTCACTGTTAACTCTGCTGTCTGGTGACAGGTTAATAATTCTCTAGACTGACGTTTTTCCCAGTGCCTGTGTAACTTCTGTCGATTGGACCCACACTGATGAAGCAACCACATTTTCTTCCTATTCCTAACTTATATTGTCTACTATAACCTGCTGATATTGCTAAAGAGCATTAAGAACCCCTCTATATGGGCAAAAAATGAAGAGATTCACAAGGATTTGTCTTTTCTCAGGGCAGCACAGTACTGAGTTCTCTTCAGTCCCATTCAGCCTACTTAAGGTCATTTTATAAGTGTTCATAGTGGCACTGGGAAAACCAGGTTGCATAGGAATTAACAGAGAACAATGAATGCTGAGTTTTTGGTGTGAAGTTAGAATTTAACTTACATTTCGAAGTCACACTTGACGAGCTGCATGGATTCTTTTGCTGTTTTATACAGGGAGATCAGAAACTGTCAGAGTTCTCAAGCAAACAGGACACAGAGAGCTTCAGAGTCAGATGCTATCAACACAGGGTCACAACTAACAAAGCTTTTTATTTTATTTTATTTTATTTTATTTTATTTTAAAGAGAATAAAGCCAAACAAAACCAAACAGAATAAAGCTAATCAGAACAGAACAATGAAAGCAATACAGGACTTCAAACCAAGATAATAGGAAATCAACAATGGCTACCACATCTCGTTTTCTTCTAAATAATTGCCCATGCCATCAGACCTAATAAAATCAAACAAAGCAGAACAAAATAAAACTAATGAAAAGAATTTAAGCATATTCTAAAAAGAATAAAGCCAATCAAAACAGTGAAAGTGATATAGGACTTCAAAACAGAATAGCAAAACAATGCCTGCAATAATGTCTCTTGTTATCTTCTCAATTGCTGCCCACATCTAATCAGACATAATAAAATCAAACAAAACAGAACAAAATAAAAACAAAACAGAATAGTGAATAAAACAATAAAACAGAACAATATTGGATCTCGAAAACAAGACCAAAGGAAATCCCCCAGAGTTGCTATATTGTGTATTGTTTATCTTCTTAATAGATGCTCAGACTACTGGCCTCAGGCCTGCAAAGCCAATCAAACAATGTAAGAATTAAGTTGCTTTTGTACTTCAGTTGCTATCAATTCAGCCTGTCCTCTGAATCAGCTGGTCACCTACCAGATGTGGGGTATGAGGAGTGATGAGTGGTTGGTGGTTCTTCTTTCCCAGCCTGCATGCAGTTAGCTCACTGGAAGGGTGAAATGGTTTGCTTCTCCTCCCAGGCTCTGCATGGTTTGCACCACCTAACCAGATTTTTATGTATATAGAAACCAACATTGCTATGGTTCTGGAGGTTGTTTGTTTTGTACTGGGGATGGAACTCACAACCTCACACTTGCCAGGCAGGCATTTACGCTGCTGAGCTAAACCCCTGGATGGTTCTGGAGTTCTAATTGCTTTCCCATCACCAAGAGGACAGATGGGCACAGTAGTGACAGTCAAAAAAAAAAAAAAAAATCAAAAGATATGCCTGGAGGTACTGGAATCCGCTAAAATGAGTTAAAAAATCAATGGGATTTTTAATTTAGAATAGCACCAGCTGTTTCATAGGCAAAAGAAAAAAGCGGATGGGGGGACTCCATTAGATTTGAACTAGGGTGTAAATGTGAGTTTGGAATGTGAAAACTAATTATGAATCTGGTTAGGAAAGCTTGGACAGAAATACAGAAATTGTCCTTTGAAACACAGATGTGCAAGACACAGTGTCAATCAATTCACCTGGTTTTCCTGGGAAGTATATGCCATAATTGAGAAATTGAAAAATTATACTCTGTGAATTCTAAATTATTTTGTTTTTATCCCTGAGGTCAGTGTTCAGTGGTCTCCTGACATGGAATGTTTTATTATTTTAAACAATGGCTCCAGTTTCATTTTGTGTGATTACATGCAGTTAGACAGGAACAATTGCTTTCATGGCAAGACATCACCCCTTGACTCCTTCCGCTGCTCAGGCATTGGGCCAGTCACCAACCCCTTGCTCTCCTCAGCTCTGTGTTCCAGATGTAGAGGGCATACCTTTCTTGCTTATCATTCAGTCTGTTTTGCTACCTACTCAAGTTTCTAAACTGTGAAGCCAGGAGTAAAAGTTCATACCCGACAAACAAGATAGCTTGTTCTAAATTCTTTTCATGAAGTGAAGTTTAGGAACCAGTAACAATACAGATCGCTCTTCAGTGTGACACACATGCAGTTTACTTCTGCGTTTGGTGCAGTTAAACCTTCTCACTTGAGTAGCCTAAAACTGCATGTTTGAGACTTGTCAGGTAGCCTGGGGCCCACCCCTTTCCTATGCTAGACTTTAACTACTGCACAGGCACCAATTTCCTTAGGAGGCTCCCACACTTGGGATGAACCCTTCCCCATGGAATTTTGGCACCCTATTAATTAGTGCTTATGAGTGGGAGCTGCTCTCTCTCAGCAGCTCCTATTCTGCCATCAGTCAAGTGTGATTCTGTAATAAATTTCCACGAGGCCAACTATTTCTGGTAATGCTCCCTAATTAACACCAGGCCTGCTAATAATACATCAGTACCTATGTGTTTCTGATATAACCAAGATCTTGTTTGAGAGTACTCAAGAAAGGAAACCTTCAACCTAAATTGAGCTTTTTCTGGTAAAAGGATTTTATATGTCATTCAGTAAGAAAACCTTTGATAATTTTATATTGGGGATATTTTGACCAGAAAACATTGAATGACAGGGAGGCCTGCTCTAGTTTGAGCACTGAATGGGGATTTACTGCAAACACACAGTTGAGACCTAAGCCCATAAATCTCGTACCGGATTACTGTTTCTTAACGAAGGAATGACAGATCTCTTATTTTGTCGGTGCATTTTAATGTGCAATGACGTGATTGATAGAAACCAAACAGCAACTATTAAAATGTCAGATGCAGACTTGATGCCATTAAAAGGTTGGCTTCTGGAGTTTAATATACTGTGAGCAAATAGACTTGAATTTCTCTCTTATTCCCAATATACAGCCTGCAATAGAAACATTCTTCTTAACTTTACACAGCTGGAAAAAAAATCTCACCCCAATCAATAAACAAACAAGTGGGCCAACTAAGTTATGAACAGTCAGCTAATAAGATTGGGATGAGTTATGCATGAAGCAGTGTACCCTGGCTAATGTGAAATGTGAAAAGGTAGACGATGATTTATGGAGTTTGATTATGATCTATGAGATAGTACCTCTGCTATTCCAAGCTATTCTAATAAGTAATTTCAATAACAAACATTTTTTAAAAGACAAAATGTATCTACTAATTCACAAACACAGTGCATAGTCTATTCACAGAGCATAACAATGTATCAAGGAACAATAATTGAACTGTTTTCAAATGTTTTGCATCTGGGAATTCTGATGGGCCAATGGATTCTTCAAGAAACTATTATGTCTATCCTAACCTGTGACTATGAAACAGAATTTCCCCCCTTAGACAATTCAATGGAAACCACTTTCTGCCCTAAAAGAAAAACAAAAACAAAAACAAAAACCAGGAGAGCTTATCTACATCACTGCAGTCATTTATTTATTATGTGTACATTAAGGTATACTCTACTGATTATATTTCTCATGTGATTTTTCATTAGAAAGTGTAACTAAAAGCAAAATAGCAGACATATACAAACTTAAAATTTAAACAGAAGACAGATTAACAGACAAAGCAAATCATACATTAAGAATCCAATTCAAACACTTGCGGGTGAGGACAAACTGAAGCCAGGTTAGACTGGTGTAAAACCTTTCTGTGTGTTTTTGGATAATTAATGTCAAATGCTACAAAAACTCAAGTTTGGATTTACTCTTGAATAGAGGGGAGAAAGGAATTATTTCCTGTACAATGTTCCTAATATAGTACTCCTTGAAAATGGCACATATATATTGTGGATAATTTAGAAGTTTATGCTGCACTAACATTTTAAAGATTTTACCTATTATTTCTAGTTTATGTGACCAAATGATTAGGTTTTGGCTTGAAATTCTAAATATAACTTAATCAATAGGAAGTATGTATGTTACTATAAATATGAGCAGAAGGGATAATTTTTAATTTGCTACTTCAGTGGGCAACATGTAAGTCTAGACTACAGAAATAATACACATCTGAAACCACTACTAAAATTCTGAAAATAATAAATTGGAGTAGGGGCATTTTAGAGTCAATATGGTTTTCATGCTTGTTTTACCAAGTACAGCATCCCAATATATACATTCAGAGAGACTAAAACTCAGTGCTCTACAGTAGAGAATAAAAATGCTACGGACAGTATATTTATAATCAGAAAAATAAATACTCAGGGAGCCCACCAGAAGAATAAAATGCTCTGCCAGTTATTATAAGGGTAATGCTGGTGAATTAAATATGCCATTCCCCACTGGAAAATACAGAGCTTCTTCTGGAGTGTGGTCAATATCTGTTTCACAGGATTAACTGCTTTAGGAACAGATCTGAAGCCTTGCAGTTAGAAAAGATAGAAAAGATGCAAAGAAAAGTGATAAATTCAGAAGCAACTATTTTAGGATTTAAAATGTGGAGAAATGCTTCATGAATAACATGTAGGATAAAGGGTCTAATAAAAATGATAACCTTAAAGAAAGATAACTGAAGAAACCAGATCAAATGCAATTCTTGGAAATCAAATGCCATTAATGTCAAATTCTATAATGGCAAAACTGAACAAAATATCATATTAAAATAAAACCACCAATATTTTGTAATGCATAAAGTAAAAGACTGACATTAAAATATGTAACAATGGATCAGGAATATAGCTCAGTGGTACAAGTGCCTGCCTGGCAAATGCAAGGTCCTGAGTTCAATTCCCGGTATCAAACAAACAAAAAACAGTGAAATTTGTAATGTCACACATTGGCCAGCAAGTCATCTGTAGGTGGTTTCAGCAGCAGGGAGATTTAATGCACAATTAAGTTCCAGCACTTTTTAAAAAGAAACTTCCTGCCTTCCTACAAAATGCAGGGTGAGGAGGTAGGGTGCTATTGGAGAAGCACCAGTTTGTTACTTTGTGTCACCCCTTCTATTCTTTATCCCCAGTTAATTATTATCTGCATATAAAATAAACTTGTTGGACCCTAGGCAAACAGCTCTTAGCACAGAAGCCTTGCAAGTTCTTAGGGAGGTTAAATAAATACTGCAGCCTAAAGCCTCCTCTATAACAAACAGGCACACAATAGAAGTGAAGTTCCTGGTGAGTAAGTGGCAGAAGGGGACTCCTCTGGACCGTAAAGCACAATGCCCCAAACAAGTTCAAGTTATCATGGGCTTTCCTCCGTTCTAGGGGACAAACGGAAACTATCAGCAGCTGTCCACCTGTCCTTTCCCTGGGCAAGTACAAACATGACCCACAGTTTTAGTAGGGCTGTTTCTACCTCCATGTGGTATTTATATAATTCTCTGCACGAAAGAGGACAACAAATAATAAGCCAGTGAGTAATTAAAATCACACTGCCACCCTACGACCAAACCTCTGTGAATAAAAGGTTTCTGGACCTCTTGATTATATTTGGAAGTGGTACACTTATCACTGAGAAAACCACTAAAACAAACAAGCAAAAAAGGGCTAGATTTCACGATAATTCTAAGCCAATTCTAATACAGAATGAGGGAAAAAAAATGACTCTACAAAGTAAGCTCTCCAGTCTTTGGTCAGCGGCACAACTCTAAAAATGGTCTGAGTTACTATCTGAAAAGGAAGAAATGTATTTTTTGTTTGCATTTTTACAGGTATAGACTTATCACCATAATTCACAACTATATACTTTTTTCTTATTTATTCTTTTTAAATAGAGAGAAAACTAAGCCCAAATTATTTCATGAGCTCTGTCTCAGTATGAGGAAAAGAAAAAACTGAAGCTTAACTAACACAAGTGATAAAGACTACACGACTGCCACAGGCCCATCTTGATACACGGAAACATTTGAGATTCATAAACTATGTGACCACTACTGAGAGGTGACAAGGGGAGTGGAGCATCTCTCCCAGGCATGACACATTCTGATCAAACATTTCCTTGGCCTTTTCTACTGCAATGATCAATTGTAATAAAAGAAAGCAAAAAAAAGTATACTCATTTGTTTAAAAATTGACACCTCCTACTGATAAAATTCGGTTTAAACTCCTACTTGCTGTTTTAAAGATAACCAGTTTAAAAAAAAAAAAACACCGATTCTCTTGTTAGTAAAGTTTAAGAGATTTTCACTGCTCTTTGTAGATTTGTTTCTAACTACCTAACAAGGAAAGAAAATGTAATTATTTCAGCATAGGGATTGGGGTTTTTATTCTAAAATTTAACTTTTTACTAACTTATTCTGAGATGAATTTAATAATCAACCAGGAAATTGATTTTTATAAAAGTTATTTTATGGGCAGAAAATATAGGAAAAAGTAAAAATGCCAAACTGTCTCTTTCCTTTCCAATGTCAAATATTTCATCATAAACTTGGTTCTTAATGTTGGAATTTATCCCTCAGGGCCACTATTATTTTTCAGAACTCCATATAAATATTATATCTAAAAATTAATTGGTAATGTAAATTTTCCTCTTTTTTCTTCAAATTTCTTCTCTGTATCTGTTGACTTTCAAAAATTCACAGAATGAGCATGCTTCTTGCAGAGTGGCTTGTCTTTCTTGGAGAAAAATGTCTGTCCTTCCAAGCTCTCACAACACACCTAAGAAAGAAAGTTATTTGAGAGAATATTATTATTTGAATCAAGTATGCTAGTGAGGGGGAGATGATTTTTCCCCTCAATGATTACTATGACAAAGAGCTCTAGATGGTTGTGTTTCTACCTTGACATTTTATGATTACTATGACATTTTGTGCAATCTTTGAAAAGCAATGAAGAATGACTTTTTTCCTGGAATATATTCCAATTCATTTAAATCACTGATCATTGCTTTTCTTTATTGGGAGGAAGTCCAATGAAAAAATTAATACGAAGTGTTTGCATTAAATGGACTTTTTCTCCCCAAATTCTAATCAGTGCTTTAAATCTGCTTCCTACTGTAGAGAACTAAAGCATTCAAAAGGAAAACTCGATTGCTTTGACAGACATTTCCAACCCCACAACCTGCTGCCAAATACCTGAGATTTACTTTCAGTTCACTTCTTTAACGAACTCATTCATGAAACACATTAATGAATTTCCTTAATTCACTTATTTCTTACAGTGAAAAATCTCATCAATGCCAGGCTGCTGGGGGATTATGCCATCAGCTAGCCACACTTACACCTTATCTTTCCTGCTTTCTTTATTAATTACAATGCTCATAAGCATCTCTACCAGAGGACACTTAGCAAATCACAAGTTACTGCTTTTTTATAGATTTTTATGAAGTTTAAAAGATAGATGAGATAAACAAGATGGGGTATAAAGGTACAATGTTTGGAGAAATCGCTTAACTTTAATTAATATCACTTTTTCCCCCTTTCATGTGATGGGCACTAACTATCAGATCTATTAACTCTTAACTGGAAAATCAAGTATTTAGAACTGGCCGTCCTGAACTATTGTAGCTAGAGAATTTCAGGGCTAATTACTTACTGAGCACACAAAGCAAGTATCATGCCAGGTGCAGCCTAGAGCTTCCAGAAACATATCACCAGCTTCAATGGGAAATTCACATCCACGACAGATAGTACCAAAAAGGGCGTAGTAATCTGTATGGGGACCAAGGAGTCATGTCATTTAAATGAGATGGAAACTTAGAGTGATAGTTCATAGACAACAGAAATAAAACTGGAATTAAATGAGATGCTGAAGACCAAGATTATATAATTAGAAACATTTTCAGGAAATAGTGTAAAATTTGGCTTGTGATACATGTTTCAGACATTTCATGTTTCTCTTGGCAAACTATTTACACAATTTGACATTCTTTATCATCTTTTTCATGGCATTTCCCCCCCAACTATTTTATGTAAGGATAAAAGAATATTATTCCAATAAAAGTATTCAATAATTAACAATAATAAAACTAACTAATCGAGAACAAATACCTGACATTAGCAAATTTCACAGTGTATCTGACCTGGTAAGAAAGACAAATACAGGAACTTTCATGAATAAGTACCATGGCTGAGTTTCTAGCTAGACTGTATCACAATGATACTTGCCAAAATTTCTTTCAGTATGTTTTCCTTTTAATGGTGATTACATTAGAAAGTTATCAGCATTTTCATTTTCTTTACACAGCTACTCTGCCTGCTGTGTGGACTTGGGGTTGACCTGGGCTGAGGGTGAAAGCAGGTGAAAGTTACTTGGTGCTCCCCTCCCAGCAGTCCTGAGTCACCTGTACCACCATGCACCCGAGCCCTGCTGGAGTCCTGTGTACCAGGCAGCAGTCCAGGCACCCTGAGACACAGCGGTGGAAAAGACAGACACACATGCTTCCTCAGGCCTACATTCTCACTGGGAATAGGATGCCAGCATTTACCGAGTATTGAAGGTACACGGAAAGATGTCATTTGCGATTGTGTAAGTACCATGAAGGAAATAAAACAGTATGATATGGAATGATTTGGGAATGTGTGTTTACACTTCCTAGGAAGGTTAGGGTCAGAAAGGCTTTTTTGGGGAAGTAACAGGTATACCTCATGGGTAACAGGCTGAGCGTGAATGTGATCTTCCTATCTCAGTCTCCCAGTGTGCTGGGATTAGAGGCATGCATGACCACAATCAGATCCACGTTCTAAAAAACACTACTGCAGTTTTCTGAGGCTGTTCTAAGGGGATGAGGAATATAGTTTAACTGATGATTATAATGCTCAGGCAAAGGATGACAGAATTTGAATTTGGTGAGGACAGCTGGGATGGAAGAAAATAAATAAATCCTCATTACACTGGGGGCAGAACTGCCAAGATTTACCTGGTAGGTTGGCCATGGTAAGGACAGGGAAAGGGCAGAATTCAAAGTGGCCTATAGATTTTGGGGTAAGAGACAGTGGGCAAGGTTGAGTTCAGAACTAGTCTGAGAGATGAAAGAAAAAGAAAACAGAAATAGACCATGTTGGTTAGAAGCAACATTTAAATGAATATTCAATAATATTTTTCCATTTCTGTAAGATATTCTTTGTGTATTTAAAGCATGACTTCTTAGAATACATTAAATATGATACTAAGTATGGAAAGCTTTCTATATTTTGCCTGGAGAGGGAGTATCTGCCAGTTAATCAAAATGTCCTACAAAGCTTCTAAAACCTACCATCTAACCAAACCACCATCATCACGAAAAGTAGGTTCTTCTTCAGAAAGATTAAGTAGAATTTTAAAGTATGAAATATTTCTGGGGCTTTCCAGTGGACAAGCCAGAGTATATCCAAGACTCTCCTATTTAAGGAGCCAGGAAAGGTGAAAATAAGAGAGGGCTGACTGGGAAGAAGGGTCAAGTCAGTGGGCCAGGGTCAGCTTGGAAGCTGGCCCTTCTGCACCCTGACTGCCCCTTTCTTCCAGCAACACACTTTGGGTTTAAGGTAAAGCAGAAGTAAAACTCAGCAGGAGGAAGGTAGTGGAAGTAAGTGGAGACAGGTTTGAGAAAAAATGTTTCTTATTTTAAAATGTGTATTATGGTAGTCACATCTAAGTAAAAGGGTTATTAAGAAATAAGTGTTATACAAGTTCACATGCAGCTATTCAAAAGGAAAAGGAAATGTTCAGAGTTCAGGTAATGGAGCTGTCAGATCCTTAGAGCTTAGTTTACTTACTTTAAAAAGAAAAATAAAATCTCAAAATGAGATAATAGGAAAGTAACAATGGCTAATACGTTGTGACTATTATCTGTAAATTAGTTAATCAGAGTATAAAATATCGGCATTTAATTGTTCAAACAACATTAGCAAGAACCGTTTTTTCAATGAGCTAAGAGAAACTGGTAGTATTCTTATCCTATATATATCTATGTAGATTTTTGTTTTTCCTCTCCTTTTCTCCTTTCCCCCATCCCAGTTTCTCTCTCCATTTCACATCTATTGTACCCTTTGGATGTTATTTATTCTTTCAGCTTCTCACACTAGGGTGACAGTAGAATGTTTACATGTGTGGGTCTGCTTTATTCCACTTAGAAGTACAGTCTTCAATTGCATCCATCTACCTATAAAAGTCTCTAGTTTATCCTTCTTTATGACTCAGTAGTACTCCACTGTATAAAAAGACAACTTTTAAAATTCATTCCTCAGTTGATACGCATTTGGGTCATTTCCAAGGTTAGCTATTACAAACTGTGTGCTAAAAATATGGGTACACAAACATTGCTGTGGTACAATGTTTTTAATTCTTCTGGAAAGATATCCAGAAGGGGAACAGCTGGGTCACATGGGTTCCAATCCTAGTTATAGCTTAGTTTAATGAAAATAATTTTACCAAAGGAGCAATCCAGGTCAGGATTACCCTCCTGTTCAGTGAAAGTAACAAAAGAGTTCAAGTTTATTTTCAAAGCAATTGCCTTAAACCAGTAATATATTCTAGAGTTGAACATTTCTCATGTTAATAACCACTCAAAATTCACTATTAATCCATAAAAGGTAATTTTAGGTACATGATTTAGCAGGATTCATATATATAAACTATTGTTTGTGCAAAATATTTTCCTATTAAGTAATACTTACAATTCTTAATTATCATAATGAAGTTGAGAATATCTGTCTTGATTAAGTCAACAAAAAGTTGTAACAATTTTTGTCATATATTTAGAGTAATATTTAAATATTTTCAAAGCAATTAAGAAATCTACTTGGCCTAACATTTATTTCAACTTTATAAGCAATACAAGGGTTAATGCTTGGCCTTTACTTAAAACTGCAGCAATTGATGGCTCATAGTCTTACCAGTCTCACAGTAGGGTTCACCGTCCTCTAAGTGGAAAACATTATTACGAATGGGTTTTCCACAGGCCACACACACAAAACAGGAAACATGCCAGGTTTGTTTCAAAGCATTGATGACTTCCTGTTACAGAAAAGTAATTGGATTCAAACAAAGATGAGAATAAATATATATGTGCTATTAAAAGCTTATTTGCTTCTAACAACTCTCACTTGACTTCATTAATCCTGCGTCCACAATACACATTTTATATACTAAAATGGTATTAATGTATATGTTGCTATTTTTCCTCATTTAGGAAGGTGCAGGATGAAGAGTTCTCCTTTGTTCTCCACATGTTGTAAGTATTAATAGAGAAATACTTTTAGTGGTATATTTATAAAGTGTTCTCAACGTTTTAACCCATTTAAAATAAAAACAGACACATTAACTTTTCACACTGAAGGTATCAGTTAGAACTCAGTAAAGCCAACTTTTATATGAGGTTAGGAATCTTTGCTTCTTCAAAAAGCAAATTCTAGCCTCTGGTCACCCATAATAAATGAATGAAGCTCTGTGATTGGAACAGAAATTTCATTTATTCATCCCAATTTATTATGTATCTGATTCTTAAAAATTTTTTTGCAAAAACAAAAACAACCCAAAACCCAAAAAAACCCTGTGGTTTGAAATGATTTTCCCTATTACTTACTTATATACCCTCATAAAACTGGTCATATTTTTAAACATTCTGTGCATTTCAGGAAAGTGTATCAGTTATAAGCCTCCCATTTTATGTACTTTCTGAGGTCAGTGTCCTGTGCTTGAACCCTGACAAGTGGGGGAATGCTACTCTTATAAAAGCTATGGAATTTAATTTAAAACAGTGAAGGTGTCAGTTCTGAGAACTCCGGTGTGTGTGGTCCTGTGCGACCTCTTCATTCCTGAGCAAACAAAAGTCCTGTTGAGGTAGCACACCCATAGTAAATTATTCCCCCACCCCTGCAGTGGCTAGACTTTTATCCTACAAGCCAACACTCAGTGAGACAAAACCAGAGACAATCTAACCCCATGAGTCCAATATACTCCTAAAGAGGCCTTTTAATTTGTTTTGAAACAGTGACGAAAGGTGGGAGTGTTGATAAAGCAAGAAGAAAATAAAAAAGATAGAAATTTCATAATAAAAACATTTGTTTTTAACTTGCTAAGAATTAAAAAAGCAGCTTCCAATACTTACTCCAAGGATCTTCCTTTGGCATCGCCCACATTCAGGAGCGAAGAATTTCTCATAACAGAGCTCACAATACAGTGCCCCCTTCTCCTCTACAAATCCAATGTAGGCCATTGTATTTTTGCAATGAGCACAGTTAAATTCTTCTGGGTGCCAAGATTTCCCCAGTGCCACTAGAAATGGTCCTCTGCCAGATGAAAACAGAGCAATTGGGTTAAAAATAAAAAGTAGCCAGTTTGGATGGGACCTTATGCAATGTTCAATCAAACACAGTATGTGCTAAGCTTTTCTTCTCCAGTGTACACAGGGACTCTGCATTTATGTGAAGACAAGAGGAGAAGGAGTAAGAGCCCTCCAAGGCTGTGTTAAGAAAGGCCACCTAGTCCTTCCTGTCTTCAGGGGCTTGGCAGTGTCAGTGTGTCAGTGTGCACAGCATCCTTAGAGCTGAAGAGGAGGATATTAACAGGGACAGAAGACCAAGTGACCGGAACAACATCAGCTTTAAACAGAGATAAAAGCTTGATGTTTCTAAAAAATAAGTAAAAGCAAAAATGTCAGTCTTAAAAACAGCAATAGTAAAAGAAAATATTTTAGTCAATTTCTTATCCCCATACACTGTGATCATGTGCTCATTTCTTAACTTCATTAAACATATCAAATCTCCACCCTCCAAAATGACTATGGAAACTATAAACTATATATAAAGTAAATACTTGGAAAAGTGTAGTTTGATTCAAATATGACTGATTTTTAAATTTTCCATTCTATTGTGGTCAGTACATTTAATATGAGGCCCACTCAGCAGATGGGTAAGTATGCAACACAGGACTGTTAGTCACAGGCCTGCTGCTGTACAGGAGATCTCCAGCACCTACTCATCTTACACAAATGAAATTTCATACCCGCTGCTTAACAACTCCCCCCTTCCTTTCCCTAAACACCACTGGTTTTTATTGCACATTTGTATCAAGGTAACGTGTCTGTAAAGGGATTTTTTTCTTCACTGAATTCTAGATAGTGATGAACTGATACAACAGGCTTGGGTTGCTTGACAGGAATCCACTATGATGCTCTATCTAGTCATGAAGGCTGCAGAGATGAGACATGCTGGCCAATGCAATGTGCTTTTCAGTAGCTCCTCACCTTGACTTTCATTTACATTGGCTTTCCCTCCAAGGCACTGCTACATTTACCTAATTTGTTCTTGTAACATTCCTATGAGATAGACCAGGGCAGTTATTACACTCGGTTTTGATAGATGGAGTGGCTAAGATACAGAATGTTCAAAAAATATGGCCAACACTAGAAAAATCACTGACAAAGCCAAGGATAGAAGCCGAGACTCCTGATTTCACTATACTATTCTAGTCTATCATGATTTAGCCTTAACACTCATGACCATCAACCACAATCTTGAAATGACTAGAAGGTAACAGCATAAGACACTGCACCTCTGGGCAGACAATAAACAGCAATGAGCACCACTCGATTTTAAACTTTGACAATAACATAAACATCACTCTTCTGTAACTATCTCCAACTGGTAAATTTTTTGCATAGAGACATGTTTTTTCAGAATTGGCAATTCTGAAAAGGAAAGGAGAAAGTTTTGTGAATGAGTGAAATTTTTTTCAGGTAGGACATAACCATATTTTTAGCTCCACTTTTTGTTAATTGCTTCTTTTTTTGGGGGGGGGGTTTCTTGAGACAGAGTCTCACTCCTTAACTTAGGTTAGCCTTGAATTCAATATGTAGCATAGGCTGGCCTTGAACTCTAGGGATCCTCCTGTCTCAGACTTCTGAGTGCTGGGATCATAGCTCAGCTTATTAACTTATTTCTTAGTAATATTATTTTGTATTAGCCTGTGTATGCGGTTTTCTGACACTGAAGATAATTTATTATTATTTTTCAAACTTTGGGATTCCAGTTTTGTTATGACTAACAAGGAATGCTACAGATTACCTGTTACTTTCTGCAGACTGTCTCTGCATTTTTAACTGGCTTACAGTTGTACTCAACACATTCTTCTCTGTGTAGATTTGGCAAGCAGTTTACTTTCAAACATAAATCAAGAAGTCACTCTACTCAAAGTTGGACAAAGCTTTATGAGTATTATGAGCTTTTCCACCAGGTAGCTCTCTTGTAATACACACATAAAAATCTGCTAGGCTAAATTTATTTTGCCTATAACATACTGTATGACAGAAGTTTGGGACTTTATACTATAATTTTTATGGATATTAAAAGAGATTCAAAGTAATTTATTGTACTAGGCTGCATTTTTTATGAAGTTACATCTTCAGCTCATCCACAGGCTGGGTGGCCAGTATGCTGATTGGGCTCCTCAGCTAGTTGTCAAAGAAAATCAGCCCAACCTCAAACTGCATTCTACTACTGAGTAACTTGGTATATACGCGCAGTAAGAATACTGAAAAAAAACCTGCTCTCGAAATATGTCTGTAGAACTATCAAATACTATCAGATGAAGCGTACGTAAGAAAAAAGACAATACTTAAGAATAACCGACTAACGGGCACACAATCCACTGTCTGTTTTCTAACACATGTGTTGAGATCCAGGCAGATGGAGAGAATTGGGTTCTATGAATCACATCACTTGGGCATGGGCCACACTGCTTGGTTATTCTTTTATGAGCAGTCTTGGGAAACAGACTGCTCCTTTGCTCTTCCCACAGGCTCACACACATGGATTCTTTGGAAAAATTCCTATCAGATTTTTGCAATAGGAACAGTTTTTGCTTCTATTGAGCAACAAAAATATTGTGCAGTAGACTACAAAATGAGCTTTCTTTTTTGGTTGACCACTGCAAGGCTAAAAGCCAGATTTGTGGCCTAGTCACAGGCAGCTGTGTAGGTCACTGTGAAGGCACTATCTCCACAATGGGGCCCACCCATTACCTTCACTCATTTGACCTTCTCTGTAATTCAGAGGGTGATTTTATATTTCACATATTTTTAAATGTCTCTAAAAACCATTATGGAAGGGGAGGGGCAGGAATTTTACCATTATTGAGTATATTCTGTAAGGTATAGTCAGCTAAGCAAATAAGGAATTCAAGCATTTTCTCTATGCGTTTAAAACAGGAGTTGAAAAGGACTCCTGCTCTCGCCAGATCTCTCCCCACACAGCACACGCAGGGCTAATGATCACCTAACATCATACTTCTTGCAGCACTGAATGTGCATCTTTCCCACTAGCTCCTGAAGTTTTATATAAATCAAAAGAGCTCTTGTGTATCACAAAGTGCTCTCTTCTCTGTGTCAGCAAAGACTAATTTAACAAATTCATTAACAAAGGATTAACACTAAATAAGATCTTCTCCCAGGTAGGATTGGGTTTCCATTTGTGAATTGGAACAACAGGCTTCAATACTGCAAAGTGGAACTAAATATTCAGCTACCTTTTACTGTATTCCACACCCTGAGCCCTTACTAAATACTCGCTGACTGACAAAGGAAAGGAGGGGAGCAGGTTAAAGCATCTGATGCATTGAAAGAGAGGAGCTATGGCATGAAATGTTTTACCCTGTTTATCTTCTGTGACTTGAACCAAAAAGGAATAATGAAGGGGAGGGGCAGGAACAAGGATGCCAAGGAAGAGGTTGGAGAAAAATCGAAGCTTACAAACAGAAAGGTGAAAGGAAATGCAAATTTCAACAGGCTGGATCTAGTAGGGACCGAGCTTCTAAGTCAAACATTTCTTGCTTTGTTATTTTATTCTCCTAACAGCTTCAGGGAAATTAATTCCATCTTGTAGTTAAAGAAAACATCACAGAGGTGAGCCAACTTTCCTAAGATTATGTAAAGGACGGAATCATAAAGTTAGGTTCTACCAAATGCTGGCCACAGAGATTAAAGTTTTTGTTTGATCAAAAGTTGTTGCATGGAATAAGTAAAAACAAAAGTCTACAAAGGTCACATTAAAAATTTTCATCTGCTAAGAACAAAAATTAAATGTGATATTTTACTTAAAAAGATTAAATATTGGGGCTGGGGAGTTAGCTCAGTGGCATAACCACCTGCCTGCAAGCAGGCGGTTGTGAGTTCGATCCCTGGTACCGATAAAAAGTTAAAAAAAAATTAAAAAAAAAGACTATTTACTTTTTTATATGTAGCATAAATAATTTACTCCTGGCATAAAGAACTTATTCTTCAAGAATGAATGCATGGATAAAGAAGAAAATAAATTCTAAAAGAAAGAAATGTTTTTGGTTTTGTTTTGTGGGTTTTTGTAGCTCTCTCTGTAGCTCAGGTTGCCCTTGAACTGTGTATCCCAGTGTGGTTTCAAATCCACCACCCTCTTGCTTCAGTCTTCAGCACTGGGATTATAGGCATGTACCACCAAGCTTGGTTTATAGACAATTTTTAAAAAGTATTATGGAGATAACTATAGTCAATTTTTTTTTTTTTTGTCTTTTTCGTTTTTATTGGTACCAGGGATCGAACTTACGACTGTCTGCTTGCAAGGCAGGCACTTATGCCGCTGAGCTAAATCCCCAGCCCCTATAGTCAATTTTTTATGTTGAGATTATAAAATCAGAAGGGGAGCAATGTGGTTCTCTAAGTGAGATAAAATTTCATTTTACATAAACATACATCCTAGAAATTTTCTAAAAAAGGTTATTCATCAACCAAACAAATTCACTAAATGCAGTATGTGCTAGGTTTCACTTTAGGAACAACGAGAATGGTAGGGAACAGGCTGGATAAAGCCACACTTAGATGGAATTTACTCTGTTCTAATGTGGTGGTGAGGGACAGTAAATGAAGTAAATGAAATATTTGGTCTTATTTAAGAATTTAAGAACTTTTGTGGCTTTTTAAAAGGCCTGGCCTTTAAATATGAGAGTATATGGTCCCTACTGTTAATATTTTTTTATGACAAAAAATTATGCCCATGTAATTTCATTCTCTAGTTAGTTCAGATGACTCAATCAAAAGTTACATTATCCTGAACAGGTCAGACCTACTCCAGTGAGCTCTTTAAAGTAAAAAGCAGCTAGGCATAGTAGTGTACCCCTGTAATCTCAGCTACTTAGGAAGCTGAAGCAGGAAAATCGCAAGTTCAAGGTCAATCAGGATAAATCATTCATTCATTCACAATCAGGGCTAGGGATGCAGCTAGGTGTGGTAAGGCAGGAAATTAGGACATGGCATGCAGGCTGG